ATGGCACCCGCTTACCGACAGTACCCGCATACCAATGGCACCCGCTTACCGGGCGTACCCGCTCGCCGGTGACACACGCTTACCGGCAGTATCCGCTTACCGGTTGTAGCCTCTTACTGGTTGGATTCGTTTATCCGCATACTAGTAACGTCTGTATGCAACGAAAATTGTTTAACATGATGTGGGTTCGTTTCTGCCGCACTATGTGCAACAAAAAACAACTATTGAAATAAAATATTCATCAGAAGTATTAATTTATTTAATTTAAAAAATCTCCTTAATAATTTTAAATTGAAAATTTGAAACATAAAACCCGCAAATGCTCGACGAATGCGTGATCTAACTTATTTTAAACCATGAATAATTTGGTCCGTTGAAAATAACCGGTCAAAAATTCGAAGTCCACACAATCAATCTACCACCGTTAATTTCGTATCGATATTGCATGTTGACTAGCCAATTATAGAATAAATCGCAATTTACCGCTCCAGATGCTTCGAAATCCTGGTGTCTGCCTTGCGGTAAAGTCTCAGTCAATTGATTATATCGCTGGATCTTCTTAGTAGGTCGCGATTTCGATCCAATATATTACAGATGCATTCTCGAAGCAGCTGCCTTTGAGTAGATAGGTCTTTTTCGGAGGCGCTCGGAAGGCTGTTAGTAAATCCTACTACTCCTTAGCCCGAGCTCGCTTACCTGTCCTGGTGAAGCTGGAAAGGAACCTGGACAACTGGCCATCCCTCAAACTAAAAAAAAAACGTTCCCCCGCTGATTAAACAAGGCGAATCACAGTGGTACCATAACAAATCATGCTCTCAAAAAATCCTACGCGCCCAGAAAAAAAAATTAGATACATCACCTTCGTTTTCATCGAATCTAAATGTACAAGATTGTCAAGGTGAAGCCACGAGCAGAATATTTAATGATATATTTGAATAGACGATTCCTACAGAGGTACGCATTGATTTACATGAATAAAAAAATAATACTAAAACCTGAGGAATGAAATTGAGTCATTTCCTTTTTTGTTAGTTACCTGTTTACGCTAATTGAATATGAATATGCGAATTAGGTATCGGATCCGTAATATTTGTACAGAAAATTCTGAAATAACAACTACCTTACAGCTTAATTGCACTTGGTTTCTTATTTTATTGTTTTATCTCACGATCCACCCGGAGTTAAGTGGTTACCGGAACCGATAGACATTAGCAATGTAAATGTCCATAGGTCTAACGTCTAAATTTTTTTATCGCTTATATGGGTGGGCGAGCTCACAGCCCACCTGGTGTTAAGTGGTTACTGGAGCCCATGGACATCTACAACGTAAATGCGCCACCCACCTTGAGATATAAGTTCTAAGATTTCAGTATAGTTACAACGGTTGCCCAACCCTTCAAACCGAAACGCATTACTGCTTCACGGCAGAAATAGTCAGGGTGGTGGTACCTACCCGCGCGGACTCACAAGAGGTCTACCACCAGTAAAATGCCGCCACCCATATCGAGGCATAAGTTGTAAATCTCAAATTTGTAGCACAACGTCTGCCCCACTCTTCAAACCGGAACGCGTACTGCTATACGGCAGAAATAGGCAGGGTGGTGGTACCTAACCGTGCGGACTCACAAGAGGTCCTACTATAAATAATTACGCAAAAGTATTATTTTTTTGCGGATTTTCATTACACAATGTTGATCCTTGACTCTGGAAGTCATTCGGGAACATTTTTGAAATAGGTATTTTATTAGAAATTTGCTAATGCTTACCTTCCATTTTAATTTCATAAGAATGTAAAACAAACATTGGCACGAAAATGAGAGAACTCAATATTTTACATTTGAAAATGGCAAATTCAAATTCAGAGTGCCAAATTGAAATATTATATTGTTGTTTTTTTTTTGTAACAAAATTTATGGCCGGATTACATTTATTTATACGTATAAAATTAAAAACTGTCAAGGATTTTAAAAACATTTCTTTAGTTTCAATAATCATTATTAATGTCCCATAGCTATTATTTTGCATAAATTAAATGTAGATATGTATGTCATCAATTTTATTTAGTTAAAATATTAAAAAAATATTAATGCCTTAAAAAAATACTAATGCCTTATGTTCTTTCGGTTCAATTATTAAATCTTAATACAAAAACAATAAGTCAATAAATAATGACTAAGCAATTGAGACATATATATATATATATATATAGACTTGAAGTCCAAGGTGGGTATTCAGGTTTTGATGTTGAAATAAAAACGTAATTTAAATATTAATATTAAATTTCTAAGATTAATTATTATTACAATTTTTGTTATAATAAATTGAAATTGATATCAATCTTAAGCAAATAATGCCTTATCAAGTCTTCTGGGCCATTAGTAGCACGTCTTTAATAATATCAGGACGTATTGAACGTTGCAAACGTATTAAATGTAAATCTCTGTATATAAAAATGAATTGCTGTTCGTTAGTCTCGCTAAAACTCGAGAACGGCTCGACCGATTTGGCTAATTATGGTCTTGAATTATTTGTGCAAGTCCAGGGAAGGTTTAAAAGGTAGATAAATATGAAAATGCTCGGAATTCAATAAAAATAATAATTTTGTTTTTCCTTTGATATGCCCCCCGTCGGACGGATTTCTTTTGTTTGTTTTAAGTTTATTTTATACAAAAGTTTAGGTATTTTATTTATCGATTGAGGTACTACGAAGTCTGTCGGATCAGCTAGTAATAAATAAAATACACTCAACATTACTAAACGTCTTTTACGTAGTTTAATGATTCTTACGTTGTTTTCATGTAGCAAGAACAATTTAACGGCCCTCCAGTCACCGCCCTCGTCGAACCCGTCGCCAAGCGACGAAGGGCGTTTCCGATCTGGTGGTAGATTCTGCGAAGCACTGCTCTTGCTAGGGCCAGTGTTAGCAACACTCCGGTTTGAGCTCCGAGAGCTCACCTACATGTTAGGACGAAGCTGAAATAGCCTCTCTAGGCTATCAGCATAGGTAGGGAGAAAAAACGGCGTTAAAAGTATTGTACAACTTACAAAAAATATCCTAGTACTGTCTTATGTATTATAACTCTAAAAAAGTGTAAATAACTGAATTGTGTCTTAATGAAATATTGGTCTATTGAATGGAAAACAGTTTCTTTGTGCACTAAAAATAACGTTTATATTTATATGTATGTATTATGTTTCAACCTTTGATCAATATGGCCGTGCCAATGGAAATATGAAAAATATAAAAAAGGAAAAGTAATATTCGTGTATATATTCGCATTTAATGCAAAGTGCAAATTCGAGTTTAATCCGTAAGCTTTCTATGGTGACATTTCTAGAAAGAGAGCGTCCCAAAATATTTATTCAGTTACTGAATAAGGACCATCTATTAACCCAGTTATACTCGCATGATGCGAAAGAATATTATAAACACTGGTACGAGACAGTGCATTAATTAATTTACTCGATTTTAACTGAAATCATTCTATTTTTATTTTATTTTTTTTATTTTATTTTTTTATTGCTTAGATGGATGGACGAGCTCACAGCCCACCTGGTGTTAAGTGGTTACTCGAGCCCATAGACATGTACAACGTAAATGCGCCACTTACCTCGAGATATAAGTTCTAAGATCTCAGTATAGTTACAACGGCTACATGACATTCTTGACAAACATAGTATTTAAATGTATTCTGCGGAGTGTTTATTTTTTTATTGGCCTTCAATGAGTTATTGTTGTTCTGGCGAGGCTTGGAGAAGACCCATGTACAGAAGTCGACGTCTGTGGACTGAAAGATTGATGGACAGATAACTAAATAGATAGACAACTAGATAGAAATGAATTATTGAAAGAATTATTATCCTGAGCATTGCTCGCATAGATATATGTAATAAGCTCATTCGATCCAGTTACAAAATCAAATGTTTCATCTGATTTTTTTCCGTTTTCGAGAGTGCGCTTGGGACAAAATCTGTAAATGGTCAACATTGTTTAGCTGATCTAAAGTAGCAAATGTTGTCAACCGAAGTTGCCAGCATCAAAAAACTAGTGAAATCATCGAGAAAATAATAGGGTCTTTTTATCCTGAATCCTTGGCATGATCCTTCTAATGATGAATCTTGACAGAATCCTTATAATAGAAAAATAATCCTATTGCTTCACTCTTCATTATTATTTTGAGACATTCCCTCTTGGACGAAGCTTGCATTTCAATTAAAACCACTTGGCTATTTTTTTGGTTAACTCTCTATTTTAAGGATCATTTTCGTGTATTAATATATGCATTTGGTTTTGGAGTTTTCATTTTATAAAATTGTTAACAACATTATCATTCATGACTAATGTCTATGTACTATATGTATCCTTAATCATACACACATATATTTTTTAATAATATTCTATGTTTAAATATGTAACGAAAACTGTTGTAACTGATTTCAGAGTTTTTACTTATTTATCTGTTCACGAAGAAATGAGGTCGGGTCTTAATGTTGTTAAGTGGTAACCAGCCATAGATATTACATGAGTGGGGCCGCCCATTAAGACATAAGGTTGTATCAAATATTTTTTTACGAACGTATTTCTACAAAACGGAACCTATTGATGTTTTGCGGCAGAAATAAACGGGTGGTGGTACTTATAGTGTGAAACCACGAGTAATTAAGCAAATAATTAATTTTGCGGGTTTCATATTTAACATAACCCTATACAGTTTAGATCGTTTGTGAACCGGTGTTAGGTATTTATTTAGAAAAATTATGGGACCTAATTGCCCTTGACTTTCAACCTCGGTATAGGACTTCACTCTATTGAGTACTAATTCATAATAATTAAAGCTATTTTTACGATTTCATATTGTGTCTTTTATTATCATTTCCTACGAATAAATAATAAGATCATTTCACATTTTTCGACGTTTCAAATTATTCTGTTTATTATTTATAATATTATTATAGTATAAATGAATATATATTTTAATAAATAAATGTGTGTTACACAGCTGATGGAGTCCTCTCGACTGTGAACGTAGTGGAAGCCCTCCAAGAGTTTTGGCAGGTGAAGGCGGCACGAGGCGGGGGCGCGGCGGGCGGCGCCCTCGTCATCTACGAGTCTGTGCCGGCTGCTCATCCGCCCTACGTCTGCTACGTCACGCTCCCCGGTGGAGCGTGCTTTGGCAGTTTTCAAGTAAGCACCTTCTTTAGTAAATATTAAATAATTAAAAAAAACTAACAAAATACGCTTTTATAAAAAATGCAACTAAAAAAATAGAAAATAAATCTTAATAAATTTGAATTAAAAATAGTGTAAGAAAAAATGATTTTATTGTAAAAAAGCGTGGGGTGCTTTTCAAAATTCGAGTTAATACGACGTTTTGAAGGGGGTCAAAATCATGTTCAAAGATTCCGTTACAAACATACATATACGTCTGAAGCTAATAAAAGCGTATTAAAAACTTACTTGTTAGTGAGCTGTTAATTAATTAAGTAAGTCATAATTTGCAATTCATTCTATTGCTGATCTTTTTTAGAAAATATTTCACTCATAAGTGGAATAGACATTAAATTACATAAGATTCATAATTAACTTAAGAACTTAAATTAACCTTAGAACTTCAATTTATACAATACAATATAATAATAAAAAATATTTACCACAAATTTCAAATATTGGAAACTTTTATATAATGACCTTAGTTTGCAAACCGACCCGAGCCGAAAAACTTTTAGCATTTAGCGTCTAAAGAGGTTCTACACAAAAAAAAAGATAAGCAATAACAAACGTGTATTTATTCGATCATCAACCGTCCCAGTTGACAAGCTCTATCATTATGAGCTAACTGTTGATTCGGAATTAGCTACGAATAATCGATGCTTAATCTGATACAGTTATATTTTACTGTTATCGATATTTTTTTCATAACAAGTCGACTTTGTTTCGTGCGATTTCGGTTGATGGCTATCTTTATTTATATATTTCTTCTGTGCGTGTGTTTATCATTGAACTCCTTCTAAACGGCTGGATCGATTTTAATTTTTTTTTTGTATGCGTTTGAGTGGTACCCTGGATGGCTTAGATTCACAAATCAGCCCGGTAAATGGCGCTGCAGTCTGTATCTAGGTTATTTATCTATACTACAACTAAACAGCTGGATCGACTTGAATTAATTTTTGCAGGATAACGTCTGTCTTGTCCGCTAGTTATTATATGTTTTAGGCGATTTCACTTGAGCAAGTAATATGGATTTGCAAGTTTCTCATTCACCGCGTTCCAAGTTAACCAAGGAAATTAGTTCCTATTAGATTAAAATTAAAAGGAATAGGGTAAAATCTGTTATAGTCCTCCATAACCGTGTGAGAAGTACCGATTCCACGTGTATACTCGTTAAAATATTACTACAGTGCAACCTTAATATAAAGAATCTCAATATTACGTAGGTGTGTAAAGTATGTGAATCAGTCTCGACAGGTTTAAGAAAAATTGTTACCTACCTAATTGTTTTTAAATAAAAAATACATACCGTAATTTGATAAAAATGTGTTGGCATTTATTAATGGAAGTTGTTCGCTATACCAAGATGAGAACGTAAAGTTGAGGTGAATAAACGATTTTTTTTACCTGGTTATAACGAATGGTAGACCAACATAATATTAATATAACAAACCTCAGTTTACCGTATTACTTGATATAACGAATGTTTACTTGTTCCCTTCCGATTTGTTATATCGAGGTTGCACTGTATTACCGTCACAGCCTTAAAATGACCTCTGGGAGCGCTGTTCATCAACATAGTATGGTACTTACATACGTACAATGGCTGGTAGGAATAAACTCTGTGGAGTGAGGTATAATAAAAAATATGGGCAACATAATATAATATAATAAAAATAACATACAGATATGATTAATATACTCAGAGGTTTTAATTAAAACTCAGCTAAAACACAAATAACACTTATTCCCTCAAACCCTTATTACTTATGTAAGTGATTCCCGCCATTATTTTAGTAACCTTTCACATTTAATGTAATATCAGGAGCTTACATCCTAATTACTTGCCGATATCCCTAGAATTATTACCCGAGAAAATACTCCGAAAATTACTTAGCGCAACTTGGAGGTAGTTCGTAGATAGTATTAAGGATGCTAGGCATCAATTAATCATTCTTAGAGCGTTCCGAGAGACGAAATTCCCTAGAATCTTTCTATATAATTGCCAACCTGCCGTGTCATTGCTGAGATGGAAAGCGTGTCAGCAATTTAAGCGCTTAAGTTAACGTTGATTGTTCAATGTTAATTGGATTATTTTGGGTTATGTCGAAATAGAAGTGTAATGTTTATGAAATATTAGATAAGCTCCGTTGTTTCCCCTGAGTTGAAGTGAAAGTATTGTGTTTTCCCGGAATAATGAGATGTATCACTATCGAGTGCAGAAATCATCAGTTTATTTTTAGATCCGATAAATCACGATACGCATTGTCGTAGTGATTTTATCAGTGTTGCATTGTGGTAAATGTTTTATTGAGATATTTAACTGTTCTTATTTGACAAATTATAAAATTATATTTTACATTATAATTATAAAGATTGAATACAAAGTAATATAAAATCGCTGCTTCGCTCTTGGCGGCTGGATTTTAAAGAGAAAAAGTGTCATGGCGGTCCCTGACACTTTTTTTACAATGACGTTCAGAAATTGAACAATCAGATTGCTAAGTCGGGTTATAAAAGTTATTAACCAAGATTGATCTAGGTTATAAGTTTCACATAAGTTTGTATTTGGTCTAATGTCGGATAGTGAATTGTAGGGTTGCGATTAGACCTATTCTATGAGTTTAGGTGAGCAGATAAGTTCATAGCCCACTTGAATTTAAATGGTATTTGGAATCAACAGGCAACCCAAATAAAGCGCGTTACTTTTAATATTATTTTAATGTCTCAATATTGGACTAACGTATTAAACCTTCAAACCAGAATGAAGAATTTCCTATACGAGCTTGCCGCGTTACCTACCAGTAAATAATTTTAGTTACAGTTAACCTTCCTATAACGCGGTATTTCTACAACACGATAACGAGATGTTTGTTTAAAATTATTTAGAAAATTACATTATTCACTATAAATACATAATAATTGGAAAAAACTGAAATTTTAATGCTTACTTTTTAGGAATAATAGATAAAAAAATACACAGAGACATAGTTCAAATGTTTCATTCAGAAAAATAACACTCCTTTTTGTACTGGCTTCTAGACTCATATAACACGGATTCGCATAACACGAGACTTTGCAGGAACGTATCTACCGTGTTATAGGAGGGTTATTTGTATAACATATAGCGGGTGGATTTCACTACTCGTGCCCAGTTTGAACTGTTCTTCTTCGTTCAGAACTGCCCAACTAAAGCGGAAGCAAGACGCAGCGCCGCTAAAATAGCATTAATGAACAGCGTATTCAACGAGCACGAATCTCGGCGGATATCCGACCATTTCATCGAGAAGGCGGTGGCGGAGGCACGCGCGTCCTTCGCCGGAGACACGAGCAACCCACACCAGGACCCCAGCGCTGGTATCGCTGCGTTTAGGTAACCTAAAACATTATGATACGATTGTAATTGGCATATATTATTATGTGTAGTTTAAGACGCCGTGGCCTAAAGGATAAGACGTCTGGTGCATTCGTGTGGAGCGATGCAACGGTGTTCAAATCCCGCAAGCGGGTATCAATTTTTCTAATGAAATACGTACGTAACAAATGTTCACGATTGTCTTCTACGCTGAAGGAATAACATCCTGTAATAAAAATCAAACCTACAAAATTATAATTTGCGTAATTACTGGTGGTAGGACCTCTTGTAGGTCCGCGCGAGTAGGTACCACCACCCTGCCTATTTCTGCCGTGAAGCGGTAATGCGTTTCGGTTTGAAGGGTGGGGCAGCGGTTGTAACTATACTGAGACCTTAGAACATATATCTCAAGGTAGGTGGCGGCATTTACGTTGTAGATGTCTATGGGATCCGGTGGTAACACCCACCCAACAACGCAATAAAAAAAGTTGAGGCTATAACTTATTTTCACTTATAATAGAAGACTGTTATGATATAATGTTAGATGTAGAGGGGAATCATACCCTGCCCCACTTAGCTTACAGTTTTGGTAATAAGCCATATACGTATCAGTGGTTATCGTGCAGTGATCCACCGCGGTCGCTAACACGAATAAACATGTAATTATATTTGGTGTTTTATTGACCGCTTTTATGAGGTTTCGGAGGACAACACAACCAACCATAAATAACCTCACACTACATATCTCACTCATGTATACCTACATGTTGTTGCGATGGGAGAGATGTGCTCTGCACTAAACGCTTCACTTTCCCCCCTTTGCTTTTTCATGAGTTCTGTCGCATGCGAGGTATGGACGTTGGTTGTTGAGCGGCAGGAGGCTTTAGTCAGGATTATAGCAGTGCGTAAATGTTGAGATTTTCTAGTTAAATTAAGATTCTCGCCGAAGTCATTAACTGCCCGAATAAATTACTTAACTTTCTTGTTCCTTGTCTATTTTCATCGAATATTTACCGAAATTGTAATGCACAGGTTCATGCTGGAGGCGAACAAAGGTCGGACGATGCTGGAATTCCAGGAGCTGATGACGGTATTCCAGCTGCTCCACTGGAACGGGTCGCTGAGAGCGATGCGCGAACGCCAATGCTCGCGGCAGGAAGTGGTAGCGCACTACTCGGCTCGGGCACTAGACGACGCGATGCGGGAACAGATGGCGCGAGAATGGGCCACCAGGTTATTAACATTGTGAATACGTTGGTTTTTTTTTTTTTGCTTAGATGGGTGGACGAGCTCACAGCCCACCTGGTGTTAAGTGGTTACTGGAGCCCATAGACATCCACAACGTAAATGCGCCACACACCTTGAGATATAAGTTCTAAGGTTTCAAGTATAGTTACAACGGCTGCCTCACCTTTCAAACCGAAACACATTACTGCTTCACGGCACAAAAAGGCAGGGTGGTGGTACCCACCCGCGCGGAGTCACAAGAGGTCCTACCACCAGTAAAAATTTTTATACAAAAACTACTAAAGGAAAAAAAGTAATCGAGATCTTAGTTAGACCTCCATGTGGATGTCACCACGTTACTGCTTTAGCTAGTTCTGTAGCTACAGAAAGAAGCAATTTACTGGTGGTAGGACCTCTTGTGAGTCCGCACGGGTAGGTACCACCGCCCCGCCTATTTCTGCAGTGAATCAGTAATGCGTTTCGGTTTGAAGGGTGGGGCAGCCGTTGTAACTATACTGAGACCTTAGAATCAATTATATCTCAAGGTGGGTGTCGCATTTACGTTGTAGATGTCTATGGGCTCCAGTAACCACTTAACATCAGGTGGGTTGTGAGCTCGTTCCCCCATCTAAGCAATAAAAAAAAACAACTAGCGACCCGCGACATCAATGACGTAAATACCCACCTGCTTCTGGCATTGCTGACGTCTACGAGCGACCGTAATCACTTACCATCAGGTGGGCCGTATACTCGTCTGCCTACAAGGGCAATAAATAAAAAAAATCAATGTACAAAGGCTGCCATCTCCTTCAAACCGAAACGTATTACTGCTTCACGGCAGGAATAGGTAGGCCAATGGTAGGTACCGTACGTACCCGTGTGGACTCACAAGACACCTAGCTACTTCCTAATTAAGCACGTCAGTATTCAACGTATTGTCAGCATTCAACAGAAACACTAACTATACTGAGACCTTAGAACTGATATCTCAAGTTGGGTCTCGCATTTACGTTGTGGATGTCTATGGGCTTCAGTAACCACTTAACACTAGGTGGGCTGTGAGCTCGTCCACCCATCTAAGCAATAAATAAAAAAACACATTTCTGCTGCTTTCATTCAAGCCTTGATTTCACTTTATATATATACCGCCTGCTTTACAATGGGGATTTGTTTCACTGCTCTTTTCTTCGTTAGAGACACGATAAATTTTAATTAAAAATGTGGTCATTCTATTTTTACTTTTATTAATTATTTTTGAAAACAGTATTAACTTAGATACTCTCAAAAGCCGGTAACTACCATTTACCATTACCACGTGTTGTTAGGACATACTCTGAGCACGCGGGTAGGTACTATTATTCAGAGTTTTTCTGAATGTATCAAGCAATACTGTGTTATTTTGAAGGATGAAAAAGCAGTCCCACAATATAGACAATTATTGTTTTAATTGAGAGAAGATCCCGATGTTTTGTTGCCCCAAACATTTATTTATCGTGGAGATGTGTATAGCCCTTCGAACAGAGCGTCTCTTCTTCCCCAATTATTGTTTCTGGTCGACTACAGATCAAAAATAAGGGGGTTTTCATTTCGGGGCTCCTTAGCGTGGCCTTTATTTCCTTTGTAACTATTTTCGGCCGTAACCAAAGCAATTATAATGAAAATGGTTTTCTTGTTCTGTCGTCTGTGACTAAAAGTTTTCAAAGTTTTAATTTGTTATTATAAGTTATGGGGTTATTATTAATTTTTCATTTTCACGTTTGTCTAAGCCAAAAAGAATGTTTTTGACGGGTTCTTAACAGATCAAATGTCCTCATTCTTATTCGCGTTCCGTGTTACCACCGGAAATCGTCCCGACAAATTTTTATTTATTGCTTTGATGGACGAGCCCACGGCCCACCTGATCTTAAGTGGCTACCGGAACCCATAAACGCCGCCACCCATTTTTAGATATCGCTGTTGGTAGGACCTCTTGTGAGTCCGCACGGGTAGGTACCACCACCCCGCCTGTTTCAGCCGTGAAGCAGTAATGCGTTTCGGTTTGAAGGGTGGAGTAGCCAATGTAACTATACTGAGACCTTAGAACTTATATCTCAAGGTGGGTGGCGCATTTACGTTGTAGGTTTCAATAAGTACAAATAAATGTAACTTGATCAATTCAATAGTGATTTCCATTTACTTCCTTCTTTATATTCATAAAAAGTATCTATCAAACAAATAAAATTAAAATTTTCTTTTGAAAAATGAAACCATTCCATCAGTATTTTCTTATGACGTTGTCACGTTTAACTATCGTCACTAAACCGACTTTACAGACAACCGATTTTTTTTGTTTAACTTAGGGAGCGTGAAGCGTCTTCGTCCGGTGGCGGAGTACTACGCGCGGAGCTGGCGAGATCTGAACGCGAGCTCCGGGCCGCGAGGCTGGCGGCGCGCGAGCTTCGCTTCCCTAAAGAAAAGCGCGACATCCTCCAACTGGCCGCCCGTCTAGCGCCGCCGCCGCAACCGTGATCTCAACAACACCACGCACGTCTGACGCCCGCAACGCGTTACTTAATTATAGTCTTTAGTTTAAGATAGACACGCTTTTTATTTCAAGTCCTTAAACCCCATCTTTTTGTTTTTTTTTTCCTACCTACGCCGATAGTCTTCAGAGGCCATTTCAGCGTAACCTTAACTAGTAGATGAGCTCGCGGGGCTCAAACTGGAGTGATGCTAACACTGACCCTAGCAAAAACAGAGCTTCGCAGAATCTACCACCGGATCAGAAAAGCGACCCACTGACAAGATCCTGCGAGAAACTCAGTGGGCTAGCCCATCAACCATGGATAGAAGACATAAAATTAAAAAAAAAGAACATTAAATAAATAAATAATAAATAAATATTTACTAACAATCACGCCACGTTAACTGGTCCCGTGATAAGTTCGTAAAGAACTTGTGTTACAGGTACCAGATAACGTAAATAAATGTAATATTTTTATTATACACATACATATATTTAATATACATCCATAACCCTGGAAAAGACATTTATATTTATCATACAAATATCTTCCTTTGGCGGGATTCGAACCCGCGACCCCCTAGTGTAGTGACCGTGTCACTTACCACTACACCAGACGGCCGTTAAAAAACATTTAAAAAAATAAAACAACATGATTGCGTTTAGATGTGAACAAAGCTTTAAAAAGCATGCATATGTACATTTGCAGGTAGAATGCTATAATTTGATGAAACAATTTAATTAATTAAAACAACGCAAAATTCACAAAATAACAATTTTACTCATAAATTTAGCATCATATCTTTATACATAATATTTATAATAGAACAAATTATGTGTTACATAGACACAGACAACAAATAATAACCTAATTTATTTTGATAAATCCAATAAAATGTTGATTTTTTTAGGTTTATGTAGTTAGTCTTTAAATTAGCATACCGGTTTATATCTTATCTCGCTGCGATGATGGGAGCTGAAGATAACGAATAAAAAACCTTATGCCGGAGTTTGAAACAGAATTACAAACTTTTTTGTTAAATAATTTAAGTAATAACTTTGTCTCATACCAGTTCCAGTTTTTCAGTTAATGTGTTGTATTATAAGACAAAAGAGCGATTTAAACTTCTTTTTTTTATTGCATATATGGGTGGATGAGCTCATAGCCGCTGCCCACCTATAAGTTCTAAGGTCTTAGTATAGTTACAACGGTTGCCCCACCCTACAAACCGAAAAGCAATACTGCTTCACTGCAGACATAGGCAAGGTGGTGGTACCTATCCGTGCGGACTCACAAGAGGTCCTACCAGTATTAGCTCTTTTGTGTTTAAGCAAACAACTACCAAACAGAATAAACACAAAAGCAATTAGATTACCTACTTTTCGGCCCAAACTTTATCGACAGTGCATTTCGATCAAAACTGTAAAATACTAAGTGTTGAGTAATTTATATTATTCACTTTGAAACAGTAATGATAAATGAATAAATCACGACATGGGTTCATTCGTCAATAAAGATTTGTGTTTCTAAAATTTCACCAAAGAATATTCAAACGGAAATATAAACAATTCATTTGCTTCTGTGCTTCACTTCTTATTATTCATTAGCACTGAGTTAAATTTTACAAAACGTCTTTGATAGCGAACAAACACAGAAATAAATTCCAATATACAGCGATTCCCCGGATTATTGGAGTTATTGAGAAATGCACAACTAATAATAGATCAAAATTAGATTTGACTACATTTAAAACAATGTTAAATTCTCTAATGATAAGCGTAATTATTACAAGTCTCTCTCTTCTTTAACCCGTGTCCACCCAATGCTGAGTGTAGGTCTCTTCGAATGAACCCCATTCTCTTCGGTCTCTTGCCTTTCTCATCCAGTCCTTACCAACCACTTTGACCAGATCATCGGTCCACCTCGTTGGCTGTCTGCCCACGTTACGACGTCCAGTACGAGGTCTCCACTCCAGTACTTTTGTGCGTTTTTGAGTTTATTACAAGTAGTCTCAGTCAATAAAGCTTATTGCAAATAAAATTATTAAAACAAAATATTCAAATAAACAAACCAAAATGTTACCCGCCATTTTCGCTCTGAAAATAGCAACACAACAATCTCGCTTCATGTGTGTGAGCTACGTAATGTAAACAGGGTGAGGTGAGCCTTCCATTGTACGATACTAACTCGACGCCCGACGTGCGCCGACACAATAATTTCCTGTTGTTCGTACCTTCAAACTCACCGTTCTACAAACACAATTCAATGTAGAATACAATCTATTTTGTTGGGCTAAATATAGCGTTTTACGGCGCATTCAACAACATTCGTGGTAAAGGTATCGCAGGTAAAATCGGACTCTTGGTGTAACACAATGAACGATTTCCTTTTGTGTTTCCAAAAAATAATTCTTTTTTAAAAGAAAAGCTGCCGTCTCTTCTACTGAACTTTTACTAAACTTTGGCTCATGAACAGGGGAACATTGTTACAAGGATCCATTAATATTCAAACATGAATGTTACTGTCCATCTTGAAGTAAAAGGTTGATTTTTTTCCTACCTAAGCTGATAGATAGCCTTGGGAGGCTATCTCAGCGTAACCGGGTGAGTAGGTGAGCTCACGGAGCTCAAACCGGGAGTGTTGCTAACACTGGCCCTAGCAAGAGCAGTGCTTCGCAGAATCTACCACCGGATCGGAAAAAGGAACCCACTGAGAAGATCCAGCAGCTCAGTGGGCTGTGTCTATGGGTCAGTTGGTCTACTCGTCGAGCCCTTCGTCGCAAGCGACGAGTTCGGCGAGGACGGTAACCAGTGCTTGAGGTACCAAAAAGCTCCGTTAATGGATTGGGAGGATCCCTAATGACGTGTTTAGGGCGATGTTGACTGTTTACCATTCGGTCCACAGGATTGGGTATGAAAAGATTAAAATTTCGATTGATTTCACTACAAAGAATGCTATGCTTTTTTTTAATTCTAATGAGAACTCTATTCGAATCCCATTAAAGAAACACATGACGCAGCGTTACAGAAATACAGATGTGGTTCACTCAACAGCCGAACAGTATGTCAGAAATGATCTCTGGCTATCTATCTACCGTGAATGAGCGCAAAGGTTCCAGGAAATAGAGGTGAACTTTTCTACGGAGACATTTCAAACATTCACTAGAACATATCCTGGCCTTTGCGCTTTATAACCGGCATTTAAGAAAAGCACCAAGAGGTTAAAAATTCGGCAGTTTTATTTATTTATTTTTTATTGCTTAGATGGGTGGGAAGTTAGTTTAATATGTATTGATAATGCTGCTGCAGACCATTGTTAAGTAAGTAGTGAATAATAGCCGTATATATTCTTAATAAGATCCCCTAACTAGGCCTGACCCCAATCATGATATTTACAACAAAAAATCAGATTACAAAGATGTTCGAAAATTTGCAATGATATTGTGATAGCACGCTATATAACGAAGTTAATGTTTTACTGATTGATTGCGTTAAGGACACAGGTTGATAGCGGTCTAAGTTATCAAAAAATTTATCATCGTACTTTAAAGTTATTAGGGATAGCAATTAAATGATACAAAATGGTCTCTTTTTGCACGTAAGTGTACGTATAATGCTTTAGACAAAAAGTTTGACCTAACGTTAAATGTGTGCAAGTAACTGGCCCGTTCTGGAAACATTAGGTTGAAATCTCCATATTGTAAAAAGAATCTATCTTTAAAACTGAAAAGTATCATTAAGAGATTGCATACAGACACCTACCACTGTTTATAAAATATCTAAAGTGAGTATTTTTAATGATCTGTAGTTACTATACTACGAGACCTTAGAACTTATATCTCAAGGTGGGTGGCGCATCGACGTTGTGGATGTCTATGGGCTCCAGTAACCACTTAACACCAGGTGGGCTGTGAACTCGTCCATCCATTTAGGCAATAAAAAAAACTCATTCACGTTTCTTGGTATTTTTCATTTTACGGTTTTTGAAAATTTGAATTATGACATAATAATATAAAAAAATTGCAAATCATAGACCAAAAATCTTTGAAGCAACAGAAACACCAAAAGAAGAAACAGTAAAATTTACTATGGCACGTTACAATTGATATACTACTGGAGATAAAACCCAAGAAGGGTTGATGTCAGGCAGGCGGTCGATCGGAAAACTCATGCTAAAGATCTGTACAGCATGGTAAGACATGTTGTCCCAATATCAAATAATTAAGGAGCATAAGAAAAGTTACACGTTCATCTTTGGAAATTACAGCGTATTTGATGGAAAAAAAATGAAAATTGAAAAAAAATGGTACCTTCACAAAAACGTGGCTATTTCATATACTAATATTTCCTCTTGTAGGGTTTACGTTGACTATTGACGAGACATAAACTCTGATTCCTAAACACGAGAAAAACTAGGCCTTATTTTTTTGAAAAATCTCTTTTACACTCATTTTCTTTACTTATCCTCTTTTAAATAATCTTTAAATTAATTGTTCAATGAAATTACATCGTAAAAATGATCGGATAGATTATACATGATCGTAAAAATAAGATGAAAACAAAGACTACATAATAATAGCTTGTAAGAAAGCGGCTGCGGTAACAGTGGATACGACTTTATGCTTCATACCTCCCGATATGTATTTAACGTTACAAACCAGGATTATCTGAGAGTCTGGGCCGTGTTGTGGCATACGACAGTTAGTATCAAGTTTACCTGGCTTGTTGATTTTGAACATACCAATTTGTTCGTTGATATCAATATTACTTTTATGAGTACTTTGTTTCATCAGAAGTAAAGCGTATTGAAAATCGCTTGATCGTGATCCGAGGTACCATTAACTTGCCTATTTATGCCACGAAGCGACTATAAGTCTGACAGGACAAGGTAGGATAGTGTTGATATAATATTTTTGAGACTTTGACTGCATCTTCATCTGCAGATGCACTTAACATTAGATGGATCGTAAGCTCGTTCACTCGTCTATGCAATAAGAAATAAAAAAGATCTGATGGTGCTGTGGTTAACTACTCATTTTTACTTTCGATTGGGTGTTCTGTTAGTGCGTAGCT